CGCCCCCTGGTGGGCTGAGCTGGCCACACACACACACAATAAATAAATGTAATAAATAATAAAAAAATACTTATGTATTTTTGTCTTTTTGAGACAAGGTTTCGCTATGTAATTCAGGGTGGCCTTGAACTTCTTTTATTGCCCAGGTTGTCCTCCAATTTGCAGTGATCCTCCTGCCTCCGTCTCCAGAGTGCAGGTATTACAGGCATCTGCCACATGCCTAGCCTTTTTACATGCATATTTAGAAACACTGCTGAGGGGCCAGGGAGATGGCTCAGTAGAATAAGCGCTTCGCTGGCAAGCACAAGGGCCTGAGTTCAATCCCCGGAAAAAAAAAAAAAAAAAGAAAAGAAATACTGCTGAAAGGGCCAGGGAGATAGCACAATAAATAAGCACTTGCCTGGTAAACGCAAGGGCCTGAGTTCAATTCCTGGTTCCACCAAAAAAGAAAGAAAGAAAGAAATACTGCTAAATACAGTAGCACCTGCCTGTAATCTCAGCACCTGGGAGGCTGAGGCAGAAGGATCACCAAAAACTCAAGGTCAACCTGGGCTATACAGTGAGTTCAAAGCCAGCCTGAGCTATGTAGTAGACATGCACATGCACATGCACATGCACGCGCACGCACACACACACACACACACACACAGAGTTAGAAGGATGACACACAGCACGCACCACCATGGCTGGCTGTTCCCTACTCACATGTACATTTTCTCTGTGCAGGTGCAGACATCTCTCCAAAGTCCATGTGCAGGTGGCTCTCCACATGCTGTACAGATCACAATCGTCCTTCCCAGCTGACGCAACGGCACTAGCATCTGCACCTGGCTATCCAAGGATGACCTCCCTGTCCCTAAGACATAGCAAGGGAGGCAACCAGAGTGCTGCAAACACAGTCTGCTGTTGGCTCTGGATTCCAAGGTAGTAGTCTACCATGACTTGTTAAACAAGTGACTGCAATTCTGGTTCTACTTGCTGGCCCTGAGTTGTTTCTTTTTCTTTCCTGTTTAGTAAGACAAGGTGGCACTATATAGTCCAAGTTGGCCTCCAACTTACTGTATAGCCTGAGTTGCCCTTGGACTTGTGGTGATCCTCCTGCCTCAGCCTCCTGAGTGCTGGGATGACAGATGTATGCCTCCACACCTGAGTTGACTTGTTTCTCTCTCTCTCTCTCTCTGTCTCTCTCTCTGTCTCTCTGTCTCTCTGTCTCTCTCTCTCTCTCTGTCTCTCTCTGTCTCTCTCTCTCTCTCCCCCCCCCACCTCAATACCAGGAGTTGAACTCAGAACCTTGCATTTTCCAGGCAAGCGCTGTGCCACTGAGCTGTATCCCCAGTCCTGATTTGTTGTTTCTTTTCTTTCTTTCTTTCTTTTTTTTTTTTTTTTTTTTGGAACTGGGGATTGAACTCAGACCCTTGCGCTTGCCAGGGAAGCGCTTATTCTACTGAGCCATCTCCCCAGCCCAGATTTGTTGTTTCTAATGGTGAAATACATGTAACATAAAATTATCATCTGAAGCACCTTTTTGTTTTTCGTGGTACTGGGCATTAAACCCAGTGTCGCAAGCATGCTAGACAAGCACTGTTACACTGAGCACCACCGCCAGACCTTTCCCCTTTTTATTTTGAGACTGGGTGAGGGAGGTGTGGTGGCACACGCCTCTGAACCCAGCACTTGGGAGGCTGAGGCAGAAGGATTGTTGTGAGCTTGAGGCCTACCTGAGCTACACAGTGAGCTCAAGGCCAGTCTCAATTACAGAGTGAAGCCCTGTCTAGGGGGTGGGCAGAGAGAGACAGGGTCTCACTCATTTGCTAAATTGCTTCAATTTGAGATCCTCCTGCCTCAGTTTTCCAGAGTGCGAGAATGGCTTGTTTTTTGTTTTTGAGACAGGATTTTCCTGTACAATTTAGATTGACCTTGAACTCACTATGTAGCCAGACAGGCCTTGAACTCGCAGGAATCCTCCTGCCTCAGCCCCCTGAACGATGGGAAAACAGGTGCGTGTGCCACCACAGCTGCTTTAACCCTTTACTCTGTCCCAGGGTCTGTCTGGTACACTTTTCATTGTCAGGACTTTGTCCTTCATCTTTGTTTACTGCTGAAGTTGGCATATACTTACTATACTGTTATGGAATAGATGGATAGATGGCTGGGTGGATGGGGTGGTGAGCAGGTGGATACTCAGATGGGCGTGTGGGTTGATGGGCAGGTGGGTGGGTGGATGGTGGGTGAATCATCTGTGGATGAAGGAACTGATTCAGGGCTTAAGGTGAGATTGATAACAGATATCCAAGTTTCAGGCCAGGTTCTGCAGCTCATGGCTGAGAGTCTAGCTCCTTCTGGAGCCGCTGCCCCGTTCTCCAAGCCTGCCTACCACTGCTCTCTGCTGGCCACTGCAGGAGTTGCAGGAAGCCCACCTGTTCTAGGGTGTAAAAAAGACTCCTGTCATAAAACGATTGTTCAATCTTAATTAACATAATTTTTAAAAAAGAAAGAGAGATTTATTTGGTTGGTTTTTTTTGTGGAACCGGGGATTGAACTCAGGCCCTTGTGCTTGCCAGGGAAGCGCTTATTCCACTGAGCCATCTCCCTGGCCCAGAGAGGTTTATTTGGTTTAAACATTTCTGTCAGATATGGTGCTGCATGCCTATAATCCCAGCACTCGGGAGACTGAGACTGTAGGATCACTACAAGTTGAGGCCAGCCTGGGCAGGTAGTGAGTTCAAGGCCAGCCTGAACTGCACATTGAGACCCTGTCTTGAAAAGACAAGAGGAAAAAAAAAAAAAAGTAACAAAAGGCTGAGAATATAGCTCAGTGAAAACGTCTTGGGTGTAATCACCAGTGCTGAAAAAAAGTTAAGCAAACAAATTTGTTCTTTTTGTGACAGGGTCCCACTACGTAGTTCAACCTGGTCTTGAACTCATAGTAACACCTCTACCTCAGCCTCCCAAGTGCTGGGTTTAGAGATGTGAGCCACCATGTCCGGCCAAAGTTCTTCAGGGCCTACTTATGTAAAAAACACAGACAGGTGCCGCTCATTGATTTATTTTCCAGTGGAAGGAAATGGCAGAGAGTATTAATAAGAAAATAAGTGGGGGGGCGGGGAGATGGCTCAGTGGAATAAGCGCTTCCCTGGCAAGCGCAAGGGCATGAGTTCAATCCCTGGTTCTGAAAAAAAAAAAAAAAAAAGAAAAGAAGTCGGGGTCAGGGAGATGGCTCAGTACAATAAATGCTTCCCTGGCAACATGAGGGCCTGAGTTCAATTCCCAGTTCTGCCAAAACAAAACAAAACAAAACAACAAAAAATAAGTTGCTAAAAAAAGGGGGGGCTGGGAGATGGCTCAGTGGTCTAAAGCACCTACTTAGAACAAGCTTAGCAAAGCACAAGGACCGCAGTTCAATCCCCCAGCACCACATGCCAGCCAGTCTGGCCCCCTGGTGGGCTGAGCTGGCCACACACACACACACACACACACACACACAAAATTAAAAAAACAAAACAGGGGCTGGTGAGATGGCTCAATGGTCTAAAGCACCTACTTAGAACAAGCTTAGCAAAGCACAGGGACCACGGTTCAATCCCCCCCCCACATGCCAGCCAGCCGCGCCCCTTTGTGGGCTGAGCTGGCCACACACACACACACACACACACAAATAAATAAATAAATAAAAATTTAAACAAAAAACAAAACAAAACATAAAGTTTAAAGCCAGGCATGGTGGTGCATACCTGTAAACTCAGCACTCAGGAGGCTGAGGCAGGAGGATTGCTGGGTGTTCGAGACCAGCTTGGGTTAGATAGTGAGTTCAAAGTCATCCTGAACTCTATAATGTGGTCCTATCTCAAGACTGAGACTATAGCTCAGTATGAAGACCCTGAGTTCAAGCTCCTGTACCATACTGAGCTACATTCTCCACAATTTTTTGTTTTTAATTTTGAAACAGTTTTGCTAATTTGCCCAGGCAGTGCAATCCTTCTGCCTCAAATCCCGGAGTGGATGAGATGACAGGTGTGAGCCACCATGCCCCGCTCAGTTTGTCTCATTATAAATTAGTTTGCTTTTTTTTTTTTTTTTTTAGGTTGGGTCTTAGTATTTACCACCTGGCCTTGATCTCGCAGCAATCCTCCTGTCTCAGGCTTGTGAATGAATGGTGGGATTACAAGGCATGTGCCACCAAGGCCAGCTGACCTTGAATTTGTGACCCTCCTCCCTCTGCCTCCCTCGTACTACTTGGGATTACAAGCGTGCACCGTCAAATTTGGCTCATTTTCTAATCTCTCCGGGAGAGCAGACACCAGGAATCTCATTCACATCTTCATGTCCCAGCGCCTTATGCTTGCCACATAATCGGGCTTGAATAATGATTGGTTGGTTGAGTAATTGAGGCAAGGTCTCACTATGTAGTTGAATCTGGCCTTGAACTCATGTATCCCCGGTTGGCCTCAAACTCCCGTGCTGAGATGACAGGCGTGCGCCACCACGCCCGGCCCCTCAGTAATGAATGAAAGACTGCGTTGGAGCCCTAGTCCCAGCCCGTTACTTTCTGTGGGAAAGTCGTTTCTCATCCCGCCATATCACAGTTTTGCGAGACTGCAGGGTTCCCAAGTAGCGTTCCCTTTTAGATTGAGAAAAGGCGGAGCTGGCCTCTGCCTCCGGACCGGCAAGTAGCGTTCCACGTGGGCGCCCCGCCTACCGCGGACCCCTCCCACAAAGGGCACGCCCATATCTGTCACTTGGCAGAGGGGGCGTTGTCAGAACGCAGAAGGAGGAAGCGGGTGGAGTTTTGGAGGCTACTGACCAAAGAGAGCGCGGAGCCTTGAGGCGGAAGGGGCGGGAGCGAACAGCCAAAAAGGGCGGTGTCCGCATCGCCATTGGGTAGCTTGTGGTCGTCAAGGAAACGGAGGCGGAGAGGCGTGGTTTCCAGGGAGGCGGGGCTTCCGGGGGCTGACTGTCTGGGACCCGGCGGCCGCCGTCAGCTGACCTGCGGCCATCTTGTCCGCCATTTGCCAGCGGCGGGGCGCGGGAGCGCGGGCGCTTGTCCAGTGGGTAGCTGTCGCCTTCGCCGACGCTCTAGGCTCTCGCCGCCGCCCTGGCCTGGACTCACTCCCCGCCGAGGCGGCCGGCAGCGCAGCGCTCTGAGGGCGGCAGGTGCGGCCCCGAGGGTCCCCTTACGGCGCCCGGCCGCGGTCCTCCGAGGACCCGAGCCCGTGGGCCGCCGCGATGGCCCTCAAGATGGTCAAGGGCAGTATAGACCGCATGTTCGACAAGAACCTGCAGGACCTGGTTCGCGGCATCCGCAATCACAAGGAGGACGAGGTGAGGCGGCGCGGAGCGGGGCTACCCTGCCCGTTCACCGCGCCGGGGCCGTCCATCCTCTCCGTCGGGCCTGCTCGGCCTCCTGCCCGCTCTGGGGTCGCCCCTGGCTCTGCCCCACGCTCCCGCTCCGCTGGGCCTGGGTCTACCTCCTTGCACATCTTTCCCCAACCTCAGTTTACCCCATCAGTTCTCCACCTATCCAGGGAATGCGCTGTCCAAAAGGCCCCGCCCGGAGCCCTGCTGCTTCCGGGGTCGCCCCCTTCCCTCAGCCTCGGTTTACCCACTTGGAGGGACATTCAGCTGCCGCCTCCTTCCCTGCGCGCGTTCTCGCCAAGAGACTGCGCAGGTGCCAGAGCTGTGGCTCCGCCACCTGAGCAAGTTTCTGGATTGCTAGCTGAGGATATGGGGCCTATCCTAATGCTCTGAAGCCCTCCCAGGACCTTCCTGGGGATACTGAGGTAGGCGGGTCTCCCTGTCAGGGAAGAATGAGGAACCGTGTCCATGTTGCTCCCTGAGGCCTGGCTGGAACCTGTGTGGTCTCGGACCCTCGACTCAGGGCCCAAGCTGGGGCCACCTCCTTGCAGCCTGTGTTCTCTAACGGAAGGCCCAAGGGTCTTGGAATGGGGAAGCGTACTTGAAGCAGGAACCCGAAAGCCAGAGCGTGGAAACGGTTTTCCAGAAGTAAAATTGTAACTATGGGTATCATTTCCTTCCCTTTCCTCCCTTCCCTTCCCTTCCCTTCCCTTCCCTTCCCTTCCCTTCCCTTTCCATCCCTTCCCCCAACCTGTGACCTAGATTAATGAAGAACGAGGACAGTTAGTGGCTACCAAGCACCTGGCCCCTTTGGAAGGTGCCTCAGCAGGAGACAGGGCAGTGGAAGCCTTACCTTGCTGGACAGAAAGCCTTCATGAAGGAGGGCAGCTGCCAGAGGCCACCTGGTACAGGGCACAGTGAGGGCACTAGGAGGTGCAGGAAGTCAGGAATTCGTCCACTGCCTGGGAACCTGAGTCCTTGCAATTCTCTGGTTCAGCTCTACAGCCCCAGCTGTCACAAACTTGCATATCATCCTGTTGTTGTCTTTTAGTGTTTTCTTGTTTGTTGTTTGTTTTGGGTACCAGAGATGGAACTGGAGACCTTGTGCTTGCTAAGCAGGTGTTTATGTTGCTGAGCTATCTCCTCAGCCCTGTTTTTGCCTTTTGAATTGAAACAGTATCTGACTGGCCTTCGAATTTGAAATGTAGTTTACTGGGGGCTGGGGATATAACTCAATGCAAGCACAAGGTACCCAGTTCAATTCCTGGCACCAAAAAGAAAAAAAATGTAGTTAACAGCCTTTGGTGGTTTTTCCACCCCTATAGCATTCCTGGCTGCCCACCCAGCACCCCATTCAGTAGGAGTCCCTGGGTACCCACCACACATACTCTTCTTAGGGTGCCTGGTTTTGAGGGCCTGTGTTATGTCCATCTTCTCTAGATGATGGAGGTCAGGACCTTGTGTAGGGTGAAGCTCACAGTCTAGTACTGAGCCACACCCCAAGCCCAGGACCCTTGGGCTAGTCATATGAAATTGTTGTGCAGCACTGTGTGTGTGTGTGTGTGTGTGTGTGAGAGAGAGAGAGAGAGAGAGAGAGAGAGAAACGGTTTTACTGTGTAGTCTATTCTGTTCTAGTCTTGAGCTCGCTGTGTAGCCCAGGCTGGCCTCAGATTTGCAGCGATCCTCCTGCCTCAGCCTCCTGAGTGCTGGGATTACAACCCTAGATTTCTTTATTTCTTCTTCTTCTTCTTTTTTTTTAAATGTGTTTGGTACAGGGTCTCACTATGCAGCTCAGACTTGTAGTGATCCTCCTGTTTTCAGCTTCTCCAACACTGGGATTACAGGTGTGTGCCACAGCACCCAGACTTGGTGGCCATCTCAGCATGCCCCAAGAGCAGGGCCAATGCAGCCTGTGGTGCCGGGGTTCGAACACCATTCCCTGCGCTTGCCTAAGCAGGTGCTTAGTCTGCTGAGCTATCTCGCCAGCCCTCACAACCCTAGATTTCTTCTTGAACTTTTTTTTTGTACTGGGGATCACACTAGGGACCTTGCACTTACCATGCAGGTGCCTATGCCACTGAGCTATCTCCCCCGCAGCCCTAGATTTCTTAGTAACCCTTGCCATTGGTCCTCTCAGAAGATAATCTATGTGGTCTCAGGCTTTCTTCAGCTTTTCCCCTCTGACTCCAGGTTCCTGTCTGCCTGTGGTTGGAGTTTTTTTCATTTTTTATTTTACGCATTTATTTGGTGTTTCTTTTTTGTTTTTTTAAAATTTGGTACAGAGTCTCTCGCTACACAGCTTGGACCTGTACTGATCCTCCTGTTTTCAGCCTCCTCAGTGCTGGGATTATAGGCGTGTACCACTACACCCAGACTTGGTGGCCACCTAGCACGCCCAGAGCAGAGCCAGCATGGCATGCGGTACCAGGAATTGAATCCCGGTCCTTGTGCTTGCCTAAGCAGGCGCTTAGTCTGCTGAACTACCTTCCTAGCCCTACTTATTTATTTTGAACGGTGCAGTGGACTGAGCTTAGGACCAAAGCATTGTCCAGCAGCCCTCAAGTAACTCTGCTGTTTCCTACTGGTTGAGTCACTGCTTTTAGGTTGACTGGGACACTGGGGGTACTTTAGGAATTGTTTAAGGGCATGGGGAGGAGCTTTCTTTGCAGATTTGTTAGCAGTACTGAAGAGCTGGGCCTCTGGCTTTTTTGGAGTCTGTCTCAGGTCTTTCTTCGCTAACGAGGATTTTCTTTGTTTCTTCTTCTGTCCTGTTTTTGACTTCTCTGGGCTTGCGCCTGTGGCCTCAGGAGATGGCCTTCCTCATCTGGCCCTGCAGTGTGCTGGATCAGGACTCTTTTGGAGCCTTCTTCCATGGAACATGTTTTTGCACCTCAACTTTTTCTTTTACTGGAGTCTGCCTGTGGGTACCAATTGTGGAATTTCATCACCAGATTTGTTTGTCACTTGCATCTGTGTTTTTACTTTGCCAGTCTTTTTCTTCTGGGACCCATGGCACTTCACAGAAGCACCTTTAGTTTTAGGTGCCATGTTGACACAGGGAACCTCCGAATGACATAGGGAACAAATGATCTCCCAGTGGTGGTTCTCTTGAGTTGTACAGTGACTGCTCTGCTCCCACCTATTTATTTACTTACTGTAGCAGCCCTGGAGGTTAAACCCAGTGCCTTTGCATTGAATTACATCCACAGCCCCCTGCCCCTTTTTTGAGAGCAGGTCTCACTCTAGTCCAGGCTGACCCAGAACCCAAGGCAATCCTCCTGTCTCTGTCTCCCGAGTGCTCGGATTACAGGTGTGCTTTCCCACCTCTTTAAAAATCAGCTTCTGGGCTGGGGATATAGTTAAATGACGCAACACCTTCCTGGCAAGTACAAGGTCTTGAGTTTGATTCTTAGTACCAAAAAAAAAAAAAAAAAAAAAAAAGAAAAGGCAGCTTTCTTGTAGCCTCTGGCCTGTCCCCTCCTGCACCTGAAGGAAGACTTCCCACAGTGGGTTTTCCTGTAGCAGCAGTTCTCTGGAAAATGTATCCTTTTCATTGTAGGCTGTAGTAAACTTTGGGCAGGGCTGGGGAGATGGCTCAGTGGAATAAGCGCTTCCCTGGCAAGTGCAAGGGCCTGAGCTCAATCCCCAGTTCCGCCAAAAAAAGATGCACAAAGTAAACTTGGGGCAGCATCGCATAGAGGCCGCTCAGCGGGGCTTCTGCAGAGAGGTAGTGTGAGTGGCGCTGCTTAGCCAGGCCTCTTGGGAACAGCCCCTGATCTGCTTCTTCATGTGGACAGCTGGGTGATGGTCCCAAGCCCCTCCCCTTGCTAAGTGCTTTTGAGGCTGCCCCAACTTCAGGCTTCTGCCTGAGAAGTGCGTCCCAATTTTGCTTGCTTATTTGTTTTTTGTTTTTTTTGTTTTTGTTTTTCTTTTTTGTTTTTTTGGCGGAACCGGGGATTGCGCTCAGGCCCTTGCGCTTGCCAGGGAAGCGCTTATTCCACTGAGCCATCTCCCCAGCCCCGGTTTTTGGGTTTTTTTGAGACAGGGTCTCACTATGTAATCCAGGCTGTCTTGAATAATAAGATTATGGGTGTGTGCCACCCCACCAGGCTTCAATTTTCTTTCAGGCTGTGACTCCTCCCCTGCTATAGATAGTTCATTTCATGGGTCACATTAAGGGGGGTAAAAAAAGAAAAAGACCTGGGGTAGTGGCCCATCCCTGTAATCCCAGTATCAGGAGGCAGAGGTGGGAAGCTTTACTACAAGGTCAAGGCTGTTCTGGGTTCCATAGTGAGTTTAAGACCAGCCTGGACTGCATAGTGAGACACTTTCTCACAAAAGAAAGGAAAATACTAAAACATACGTGACTATGCGCGTACAGTAAAGCTCTTTTGGCTTGCCTGGCTGTAGGGTGATGGTTGCGAGAAGATTGCGTTACCATGCCCTATATGTAAGTAAAAGTATTCATTTCATTTTGCAGTGCTGGGGGTGCATCCCAGGGCCTACATGCTAGGCAAACACTCACCACTGAGCCACATTCCCAGCCCCAGGTGACTTCAGTGAGTGCCCCCCAGACACTTTGCATAATTTGGAGAAAACTTTTTTGTGTGGTGGGGTGGGGTTTTCCTTCTCCTTTTGGGGAGGGAGAAGAGAAGCTGTGGAAAGCCCTGCTGCCTCTCAGCTCCTAGCCTCCCAGGCGTGGCAGTCCTTGCTTTTCCTGCCTTGTCCCTTTGATGGATGCTGTGCGGGAAGTGCTACAGCTGCTCTGTGGGACATTTTGTGGACCTGGAGGTCAGGGGCCTCAGGCAGCCTTGCTGCCCACCAGCACACCCTCTCCCCTTCTTTTCTTTAAAAAGAGTCAGGGCTAGATAAATAGCTCAGTGGATTAAAGTGCTTGCAAATAGGTGCAGGGACCTAGGGGTGGTGGCACACGCCTGTAATCCCAGCACTTGGGAGGCTGTAAACAG